ATATCTTTAAAAAGATTTTCTGTTAAAGTTTCCAACTCATTATGATCAACACCAGTACCAATAATAGTGATATTCGGAGCTGTATAGACTTTGTTGGCATAAGCTATGACATCTTCGCTACTTTTAATCTTTGTGGTAGAATTTGCAAAAAGTGAATTGCCAAGTCCATTACGAAATGCTACTTCATGTGTTGTTTCTAAAGTCAAAATTTCTGGGGTTGATTCGGCTGTACTTCTTTCAAAAGCAACACTTTGTTTCACTTCTTTAAATTCATGTGGTTCATATTTTGCATTGAACACAACATCAGATAATACACCTAAAAAATAGTCTCTATAATAACAAAATGAGAAAGATGATGATAATAATAATAATAAATAAAATTTAAGACATACAGATTATTTGGTAAAAATTCAGCAGTAAGAATTAAATTTTCTCTTGTTAAATTGGCTGTTAATACACCGCCAAGTAGTTCTGTTTCACGTGTTGTGCGAAAAGCAGTTTTATTTGTGGTGTTCTATATCATTTGAATAAATTCAATGATTAATAGATATTTGTATATACAATTTCAATTATTCATTCACTCTAACCTTAAAAGCAAAATTCTTCAAAAAATGTGCAGCTCCAATATTATTAATAGTCTCATAACGAGGACCAGCCTTTGCAACTAACGAAATAGAAGAAGCTGGTGCACCATCTTTATTGAAATACGTACGTACATACATAAATACATGCACATATATATGGTTTAATATATCATATATACAATGTGCATTATTATATGTTGTCTTCTTCACCTTGAATAGAAACTGTCGTTATTCCATTTTTTGACTTTGAAACTGAAATTGGAGAAGCTGCAACACTAGCATATTTACGATTTATTAACAAGCTGTTAATAGGAGAATAAAGTTTATTACTTGACAATTTACAAGCACGGAACATTATTTTAAAAAGTGAATTTTTTTGTTACACGAATTCTGAAATCACACTAATTCAGTAATTAGTCAATGAGTATGTAAAATCCTTTAAGTTTAGGCTACTTTTAAAGCTCTATGAATTAAAAGGATAGTTAGTTAACTTACCTTCAGACTTAAAAACTTGTACTCTTTTTTTATGTTGTAAAATAAAAATATTCTATGAAAAAAATTTTTGTTACACGAATTTCAATCTTTTCTAAATTGTTACAAAGTATGTTGCACTGATTTGGTTGAGTTGTATATACAGTATATATTCTTTCGTTAAAATAATATATATTAATAATATTAATATTGTTTGTTTAGCACTTCTTTGAGAGCGTTTTGTTCAATTTATTTTTAAAGAAAATTTCATGTAAAACTTCAAAGTTCAAGTAAAGATTTTTTACTAACGATATTAAAAGCATCATAGCCATAATAAATAAAATCACAAAAATGCTTGCCTTCGCAAGTGAATTGTGATCGGACCATCCTTTAGCTTTTTACTTCTATATTACTGACCCATAAAAATCAGCTCCACAAAGGATTAAGAAATGAATGAATCGCATCACCCAAATATTCAATCATCCCTTAAAGAAAGAAAGACCGTTCAGCAATGGAATCGATTTTGAAAAAGACCTGAACGTCGTTTGCTTCAAAACTTTTGAAACGTTTTTACTGTGTGAGGGTTGGTGAGTGGTTTGATGTGGATTTGTTTTAATCCGAACTTTCCGTGCTTTCCGTATAGGACAAAGGGTTCCATCATCTTGTTATCCAAGTGGTAGCGGAAAAGTTTAGTGGTTAAGCCTCCCTCTTATTGGGCCTCTGTGGTCCCCTTTTCGATCGCAAGCTACTTAAAAATCATTTCCAAAATAAAAAATGAATAATACTAAATCTGATATGTTGAGCTTTAGATGTCAGATTTAACATTCCTATCTTGTTGATCCCTAACTTCCTTCCAAGTTTCCTAATAATAAAAAAGTTGAATAAGGATGAACTATATCATTTCATAGTCTTTCCGGATGAATAAAACTGATTCTTCATATATACATTTTTTATTTTTACGGTTGATTTGAATTATATCAATGGAATTGGTCTGTAATTGCTAATACTAATGAATTAACACACTATTACATTTTCTATGATATAGTGAGCTTAACATACATGCTATTTAAATAAAAAATGGAGCTTATGAGGTATCAACTATGCAACAAAGGGTTATAGAACGGAAAACATAGATAGTAGAATAGTATAATGAAAGAAAAAAGGAATTTTGCTTTGTGGTACTACCAAATGAATGCGTTCCGACACTACGCGCCTCAACCCTCATAAATAACGGACACCATATCGATACTATGTATCTTAGCCATGGAAACCCGAATGCATTGTGAAAAGTAACGCAATTACCTCAATCCTGACATTCAAATACGTTATGAAATGCAATCCATGTATGGCAATTCGGCTCAACGAGCTCGAGAAAATGACGCACAGAGTCCGAATAGGTCAAACGTGGCTCGTCATAGTCGATAGGACATAGAAGGCTTAGTGAACACCATTTCCTTTTTATCGCCTCTGCTAGCATGATGGCGCATTTATGGATCAATTTTCATATGTGTATTGTAGGCAAACGTAGACTGAATCGGAATTCTAGGATACTCTGCATCCCTTGACACATGGTACCTCGAATGTACCTGGGATTTGTGAAATACGGGTAGGTACTCATTTAATAAGCCATTGTACTTATTTAAATTAAGACATTTGACTTATTGGACTAGTTGTAAATTATTGGTGGTCACCGCCAAATCGGATCTTGCTTTTTTATTAATGATGCGAATTAATATGCGAAAAACAATTTGAGTTTTGAATTTATATTATTATTTAAATAAAAGAATTCTTTAAATGATGACAGGGATCAATAATTTAAGAGACTTTTTCAGTGGCATCTAACATCAAATCAATATTCCTCATGAATACTAATTAGCCGAGTAAATTATTATTAAAATGTCTTTCCCAAATCTTCAAAAAACAGAATCTCACATTTAAATGATCTTCATACATGTGATTATAAAAAAAAATTGATGAATCTATAAAAATTTTTTTTTAATAATAAATAAAATGGTATGTTTTATATAAATGTATAAATATATTGAATTGAATTGAATTTTTAAATTAAATTAATATTTATACACATGTATATGTAGCCATCTCATAAAACTTTTAGGATCAAACGTGTCCTTGGGAAAAAACAAAAACAAAATCGACCGATTCCTCATTGGATTCGACTTCGTACAGGAAATACAATCAGGCAAAATAACAATATTATAGATTAAGAATGTTTCCTATTATGTTAATATTTTAATGAATGATGTTTAATGATATTTAATATTATTATTATATAGATATAATGCTAAACGTCGTCATTGGCGTCGTACTAAGCTCAATCTTTAATATATTATTAATTTGGAATATTTAATCAGTTAATAAAATTTGGATTTAAAAAGAAATTAAAAAACTTCATTCTTTCCTTTTCTTTCCTTTTATCCTAGAAAAAATTATTAATAAATTTATAATTCTTTTACTGAATTTGACAAAGCAAAAATTTATATAATATGTGGGCACGCTGTAACAAAGCCAGACAAAGTGATTAGGAAGCAGAATGCTTATTTATCTAGCCACGAGTATTCTGTGGTTCCAAAGGCCTGAACAAACAAATATCATTATATTTGCATCTTTGTAAAGAAGTAATTTATATCTGGCTTTATATGCCTTGATGACTAGGTATTGGGTTATATTTAAAAATCATTTCATTGCCAAGATTATAACATATCTATTTATATATATAAACAGATATTCAGAATCGAACCTAATAAAACTAAGAAATATCATGTTTGCACTGAAAAATGACTGTATTAATGTGGCGGGAACTAAACTTTTCACTGTTGGCTCGATCATGGGCTCTCTGCATCTATTTAAAATCAAACAAAACCATTTAAAGAAAATGTAACTAAGAGACAAATTGCCCAATTGACGTTAAAATAATTACAACTTTAATTAAAACTATATTTTTATAATAATAGAACATTTAGTGGCAGTGTTATTAAATATGTACACAAGTAAACTCGATAAGTCGGTCTCTTAATATAAGTCAAACTCGGCCAAAATTTTTTCTGCCCTTTTTTTCAACATTTAAAATCTCTTGATAAGTCAGTCAATCCATATAAATATAAAATCGCGATAAACTGTAAGTCGACCAACCCTTTTTTTCTAAGATATATTGTAAATTACCATCGATAAGTCTATATCACGTGATATTTTCATTGAGCGAGAGGTCATCATTACTATTTTAGTAACCTGTAATATTCAAAAAAAAAATTTAATATGGTGCGTATCACCTATACTCATCAAAAATTTTCATGTGACTTCTAACTGTATCTAGTCCACCAATTTTATAAATTTTTAAAAAATAAACGGTGCAAATATTACTTTAATTGATTCTCTTTCAATTCCACGGATTAAATTTTTTAATTGCTTAATTTTTTGGGGAGCTGATAGTGTTTAAAAATAGTCAATTTTATTAATAAATTTCA